AAAGGGCAAATTCTTTGTCTCCCCAGCTCCTAAGTCACCCCCACTCTTTTTTCCCCCATCAATTCTATGATTTTACCTCATTTTATAGCCCCTCCGCTGACCAGTCCCCTCCCCCAAATTTTGAAAAGTTCACCTCCTCCATTCCCCTCTCCCCCCAATTGATATTCAATCTTTATCACCCAAACTTTTTTTTTTTCCTCATACCTTACTCTTTCCTGATTCACCCTTTTTTTTCTTCTTTTTCCACCCTACCAAAATTTATCCACCAACTCTGCAATTCTCTTCAAATTCCCCAAAAGCCGTGTCATCAGCAAAGCAGCTGTGAAAACTCCCCCTTTGTGTGGATTCTTTATCTTTTAACTCCCCCGCCTCTTGCCAAGACCCCCGCATTTATTCTCTTACAACCCCATCATAAAATATTTAAAAAACCACGGTGACTCACACATCCTTGTTAAGTTTCCACTTTTTCTGGGGAAAAAAAATTTTCCCCTTTCCCCACTACTTAACTTGAGCTACTATCCCCCGAAAAACTCTTCACTGCTTTTAGTAACCTACCTCCTAAACACCATACATTGCAAATCTGCCACATTGCCCCCCCATCCCCCTGTCAACGCCTTTTCCAATCCATAAATCCACAAAACCCCTTTGCCTTTTCTAAATCGTTCATTATATGTTTCAGTAAACACCTGGTCCACCACCCCCCACCTTTCCTAAAGCCTCCTTGTTATCTGCTTCCATTCTCCGTCTTACCTTAATTCTTTCAATTTTAAATCTCCATACATTTACCCGGTTCCTCAACGACTTATCCCCCTTAAATTTTTTCCTTCTTTTTCCCCCTTTTCCTTATCAAAAGGGAATACATGCTCTTGCCAAACCCTAGGTACCCTTACCCTCTTCCAAAATTATTAAACAATTGCACCCAAACCCCTCCAAAAATTTCCCCACCTGCTTTTAACATTTCTTCTTTTTCCATCAATCCCGCTGCCCTTTCCCCCTTTCATTTTACCTACTGCCCCACGAATTTCCCCCCCACTCCCAAAATTGGGGTTTCCCCACTCCTACAAAATGTTTTTTCCCCCTTGCCCTTACACAAATCACAGTTCCTATTCATCAACATTTAACAATTCCCCAAAAAAATTTCCCCCCATTTCCCAAAACCTCTAACTCTCCATTTTAATAACTCTCCTCTCCTATTTTTAACTGACAAATCCATTTGTTCTCTAGGCTTTTTTTAAAATTTTTAATCTCACTCCAAAAATTTTTCTTATTTTCAACAAAAATTTTTTGAAAATCTCACCCACTCTTCATTTGCTTCTTTTTACATTGCTTCCCACTTCTTAAACCTCTCTTTTTTCCTTTTACTCTTCCCCCCTTGCATACTTCTACTTTTTAAAAACTTCTATATGCTAACTTTTTCTCCCCTTTTACTTCTTTACATCTATTCCACAATCGCCCCCTTCCCCCCTGCACCCATTTCCTGAACCACAAACTTCGTGAACACTCTAACACTACATTTTTAAAAACCTACCCCATCCCTCTTCGACCCCATTGCCTATGCTCCATTACCCCATCTACCCCAAAGCTTTTTAAAACTTACCCTAATGCCCCCCTCTTTTTTTTTCTTCCCCTTTCCTCTTCCCTGTGCTTCTATTCTCCTTGTACCCCATCTACCTTTTACTCTCTGTAGCTACAACTAAAAAGTGATCTGTATATCTGTGGCCCTTTAAAAAAACATTAATCCTGAAGTTATAAACATTTTTTATCTCCCAATACAAACCACAACTACTGTCTTTTTCGCCCTACTCAATCGGTATCTTATTTACCCTTTTTTTTCTTAAATTATGTATTACCTAAATAAACCCCTTTCTATACAAAGTTCAATAAAAGGGCTCCCTTTTTCATTTACCCTGGCCCCCAAATTCCCTACCCCCCCTCTCAAAAAGTTTCTCCTACTTTAGCATTCAAGTCCCCTACCACAATTCTCTCTACTTGGTTCAAAGGCCCCAAACATTCATTAACACTCCAAAATCTCTCTTTCCCTGCATTCCTCCTTCTCCGGGTGCTACACGCTTTTTTGACCCACTTCCCCGCATCCCCAAACCCTTTTCTTTAATCCACATAATTCTTTATTTACCAATTTTAATTCTCTTTTCTCCCTTTCCATAATGATATTTAAATTTCTGCTACCCCCTTTCCTTTTCTCTAACTCTCTCAGATACCCAGATTTTAATCCCCTTTATTTCCCCCCCTGAAAATCTCCTCCCCCCTTTGCTTTGTTTTGTTAGGGCCCCGGGGCATCCCAAATTCTTTTTCATTATAACATCAGCATCACTGTTTTTTGTCATCCCCACAAAATCCCGCCAATTTAAGCAACCATTTTATAAAGTTTTTCTTCTTCGTATATTATTAGTAAAAAAAAGGATGATAAAAAAATTTTATTACCTGTTTTTTATTAATAAAAGCCTAAATACTTATTATTGCTCAGACCGTGCAAAAATCTTTACGGCCAAAATCGGCTATGTGGGTTTTTAAAGGGGCCATGTCCCTTTATCCAAAATTCTAAATTTGAAAAGGCCCAAAAAATGAAGTTTTTTATGGGTGTGGGGCGTCAGTCATCTCCCTGTTGGTCCACCACCTGTGAAGGCGTTGAAATAATTTTGAAGCAAGAAGTTTTGAAATTCAAAACAATACAGGCCCCAAGGGTTTCAGATAAAGGGATGTGAACCTATATAAACAAGGAAATAAATGACTTAAGAGTGGTTACTACACACAATAGAAGTAGGAATAATAAAAGTAGGACATAAAACTACAGAGAAGGAGATAAGTATTTGAGGGTGTTGACATCAACCACAAAAATTCCAAAAGATGCAAACTGAATAGTAATTATATTTCTGTGCACTTAAAAAGGTCTTAAACTAAAGGCAAACATAAGTTGGGGGAAAAATGTTGATTCAAGGAAATGGAGCACACCCTCCAAGATACATCATTAATACAAAAATAAAAATGAAATTTGGCACCCCCACAAAACTTTGTTCCGAGAAAATGGAGCAGAAGCAATCCAGGAGGCAGAGCTCAACCCGACTGCTCTGGGATTGGAGACTGCTCTGAAGAAAAGTACACTACTATCGGTTAAGTTGCATTTCCTTTAAGCAAATACTAAAAATAGTTCTTACCCTTAATTTTACACATAAAAAAAATAATTTTTGGTTTCTGTTCTTCTGTCTCTGTGTGATGCAGTCTACTCTTGATAAACGTTTTCCATTTCTTTAACGAATTTTTATTTTTTGTTTTTGTGAAAGCCTGAAACCCCTGAGACATTGTGTGATTGTTGGAAATGGTATTAACCCTTTCATGGTCGACAGGCCCTCTCCTAAAGTTGTTCTCAGGGTCAGAATTTAAAAAAAAAAAAAAAAAAAAAAACTTATGAAATGATAATTTTATCTTTTCCTGATCATAATGACACCAAAAGTATGAAATTTGATGGTAAACTTACGGAATTATGCTCTTTCAAAGTTAGCAGTCTCGACTATGTTTACGCATCAGCGATTTCACCCACTTTGAGCCCTATTTTTGGCCAATTCCAATGTACCAGTTGACAAAAATCATAACTATTTTACTAGAACTCCATTTTTTCTATCGAATAAGTGCAAGAAACCACCCATTTACTGATTTCAACTATCCAATAAAGTGGTCAGAAATTGGCAATTTTGTCAATTTCACACTAATTTCAAAAGATGCCAATTTCCAAATAGGGTCCAGAATAAACCAGACAGACATTCCTGGCACTAAAATAAAAAATTTTTTCTGTTCATTAGTCTCATCCCCAGGCCTCTCTTACATTTCTTTTGCTTTCCACTTTGAATTTGTATTCTCACAAAAAAAAAAAAAAATAGAAGATTTACTGTTATGCAGAAATAGAAATGGTATAAATAATATCTGCGCAAACTTGTGAAAGAATATTAGACTCACCAGTTGACGTGTATTGGACGCGTAGCATGATTTGTTTACTTTTGAACTTTGGCAAAAAGCGAACATTTCTGCTACTTTGAGCTCAATTTCAAGATACTTTTCATTATGAAATCAATCATAATCATCTCAATTTCTGTAATATGTCTTCCATTCTATAAAATGAGACCAGGAAAACTAGAATACAACCATAAATAGCATACAAAAATACACTGCAAATTCACTGTTTTAAAGCAAAAACACGGTCGGAATTTTTTTTTTCTGATTATGCACTGTGTGCTGCAAGATTTTTTTTATATTGTGCACACTGACCACATAGACCCATTCTTTCATATATAGGCCTACCAGCTTTCTTTCACTAGATTTGAAGGCGCTAGAAAATATGTGTACTAGTACAGCACCAACCCTGGCGTGCAAGCCGTACTAGTACAGCACCAACCCTGAAAGGGTTAAATACCAACAAGTTGAAGATCAAGACACCTGTGCAACAGCTGGGTATCTTTATTGATGAAGTGTTTCACCTATACAGTAGACTTCTTCAGTCAAATACGGAGGCAACAGTAGTAGTGAAATAAAGGTGATGTAACCAGTCCATTAACCTGGGAGAAAAAGTATTTGAGGTGGTCAGTCCCTCAGCCTGGAGAAGAGTTGAGCTCCATGGAGTTGAGCTACTACTGCTCCCTCTGTATTTGACTGAAGACGCCTACTGTGTAGGTGAAACATTTCATCAATAAAGATACCCAAGTGTTGCACATGTGTCTTAATCTTCAACTTGTGTGACTGTTCATCATCACCTGTAGAGGAGCATCTTTCTAACTTGCATCATCTCTTCCTTCTGCTTAATGAGATATGTCTGTAAGACACTTCCACTGAGCTCATCCTTTCAAGACACTGATTCATATTCATGTTTCTTATACTGCGGCAATCTTCCTAGCATATTTCAGTAAAGTCATGGCATATACTGTCCCAGGATATACTCATCATGTCATGAAAAATACCTGTGACCTGGTATATAAACACCAGGATATACTCACCATGTCATCATATAAGTGAAAGATGGCGGGTGCCCACTCCTGCAATACAAGAAACCACATTAAGTGTTGTTTCTCCCTCACTACACCACTTTCACTAGACCACTTTCACTACATCTCCCTCACTACACCTCCCTAGTACACAATCTTCACTACACCTCCCTCACTAAGCCTTCCCTTGCATTCTCCCTGTAGGTGATCCAGGAAGGAAGGGGAGGTCATTGCCCCTGCAGTTTAGTCTCAGACCAGGAGTTCTGGTTGACTGCCTGATCAATCACCCTGTTGGTGCTAGTCATACACAATTCAATGTACAGTGGAACTCTGGTTTTCATACTGTCCGAATATCATACAATTTGTATTCAGAACACTTTTTTGGGCAAAATTTTGGTCTGGATTTCATATCTCCATCATGAAATCGTACATATCAGATGTGTCTGCCTACCCAAGATGCTGACACTCTCATGTGTACAAGTCTCAGTCTGGCTCTGTCACTGGTTGAGTGAGCATTCATTCGAAACATTCTGCAATTTTTGTGCTTGTTTATTAATTGCAACTGCGAAATAAGCCACCATGGGCCCAAAGAAAGTTCCTAGTGCCAGCCCTTTGGTAAAGAAGGTGAGAAACAAAACAGAATTTAAGAAAGAGATCATAGAAAAATACGAAAGTGGCGTACGTTCAGCCGAGCTTGCCAGGATGTATGGGAAGTTGAAATCAACAATCTGTTCCATCCTGGCAAAGAAAGTAGAAATCAAGGAAGCTGAAGTTGCAAAAGGGGTAATTATGCTAACTAAAGAGAGATCACAAACAATTGAAGATGTGGAGAAGTTGTTGTTGGTGTGGATCAACGGAAAACAGTTAGTAGGAGATAGTGTTATGGAGTCGATCATTTGCGAAAAGGCATAAGCTCTCCTTTTTCTCCCCTCCTTGCCTTCTTCCCTGAACCCTGGATGAATACTGAGATATTAGATAATATGAAACTCAGAGACCAGCTGCTAAAAAGATTTAAAGCAAACAGACAGGATATTGCAGCACTAAATGAATTCCAAAGGGTGAGGAACAGAGTACAGAGACTTATAAAAGGAGCAAAGGCAAAGCACTACTGCTCAAAAATTGAAGAGTATAAGCATAACCCCAGAAAGCTCTGGCAAAAACTAAAAGAGTTGGGGTATAGCCATAAGCCAGTAGATAGGTCTAACATAGTACTCACTATCGATAATGAGGTATGCCACGAAACATCTAAGGTGGCAAATTGCTTTAATTCATACTATACATCTGTTGCATCAACACTAGTAAGTAAACTACCAGCTGCATCAAATACCTTTAACACAGACTCTGATAAGTTTCAAACATACTATACCAATAAAGGGGTAACCCCAAACAGTTGTCAACTAGTAAGTGTATCTCATGACTTTATTCAAAAAGAACTAAGCAGGTTAAACCCAACTAAGAGCACAGGCCCTGATAACATCCCATCTAAGTTCCTAAAAGATGGTGCTTCTGAACTGTCAATCCCTATTGCTCACATAATAAATCTATCAATCATCACTAATACCGTACCGGAGGGGTTCAAGGAGGCCAGAGTTACTCCTATCTTCAAGAAAAATAGTAGGTCTGATGTAAGCAACTATAGGCCTGTTAGTATACTCAGTATAATATCTAAAATTCTAGAGAGGGCAGTGTATTCTCAAGTAGTTAAGTACCTTAATGACAACAACATTCTCCATAGCTATCAATCGGGCTTTAGAAGATCCTACTCAACCGACACCTCCCCTTTTTAATCTGATGGATTACCTAAGAACTGAAATGTCAAAGGGGAACCTCATAGGTATGGTAACCTTAGACCTGCAAAAGGCCTTCGATACTGTCAACCACAATATATTATGTAATAAACTTCAAGCTATCGGTATAGGTTCTGTAGACTGGTTTAAGTCTTACCTTAGCAACAGGAGACAAATAGTCAAAATCAACAAAACAGAATCAGAACCCCTGCCGATAACATGTGGAGTTCCCCAAGGTAGTATTCTGGGTCCCTTATATATTCTTATGTTATGTCAATGATATGCCTATCAGTGTCAAGTGCAAACTCCTACTGTATGCAGATGACAGTGCTCTGTTAGTGTCAGGTAAAGACCCACAAGATATTGCTAATGTTTTAACACTGGAACTGGAGTCCTGCAGCAAATGGTTAGTAGACAACAAACTATCATTACACCTAGGGAAAACTGAAGCCATTCTCTTTGGCACGAAACATAAACTGAGAAGGGTAAATAATTTTAATGTTCAATGTAATGGGGAGTCCATCACTTTGGTTTATTCAGTAAAATATCTGGGAATCCCCTTTGACCCATGCATGTCAGGAGAATTGATAGGGAACAGTGTAGTAAAGAAAGTGAATGCCAGACTGAAGTTCCTGTATAGACAAGCACAGTGTCTACCTACTGAGGCTCGCAGGACCCCATGTCTAGCCCTTATA